TGACCAAAGAACCTAAGACGAAGAAGGCAACAACTAAATTGGATAGGTGGGGTTTGAGACAGATGTTTGTGAAGCTTTTATGTAAAAGGTCACATAATGAATATTCTTTGACTTTATGGACAACACAGTTGCTGGCTCCAGTACTCATTCTGTCATACAGTACAAATGCACCCATAGTGGAAAGATAAATGAGTGGGTGTGGCAATGTTCCAACACAAGCTTATTTACAAAACAGAGCTTCAGGTTTTGGTTTGGCCCCATGGGCCATAGTTTGCTTCAGTTTACAGTTGCCAGGGGGAGATAAGTGGTTTCACAAACAAGGAACCCCAAGTAAAGGATGATCTTGGAGAAACAAGGAAATCTGAATGTGCCTCGAGAGAGTTTGACAAGGAGATAAACATTACCTTCCCGGTAGAAGACTAAAAATTACAGATGAAGTACCTTTGCTTGCTGAAGCTGTGGCTGTAGAAAACCTATAAACAACAATCCCTGGTGGTTAACATGGTTGGGGGTCTGGGTTTGCATTGTTTTGCTTGGTTAGAGTCTGCCTAGTTGTGTAGTGGAGAAGTTTATCTCAAATGGTTTCCTTCATCCTTCCCTGGTATTCTGGAATCCCTAGGACACAGAAAATATCTGGGCCCCATTCTATTCTCGACTCCTACACAGTCCAGTTCAGTCTTGCGCTAATGTCTAAGATCCAGCAAGGTCACTCTGAGAGTGAGGTCCCCAGTTTTACTGCATCTTTAACTATTGCTCATCTGCATACACCCAGTGACTCGTCCCTGCTGACCTTTTCTAGAAATCACAAGTTTCCTGTCATAGACCCTTCTATGAAGAGTTGATAGAAGGGACTTGCTATCCATTGGCTACGTAGGGGGCAGCTTGCTCTGGCTTCAAAGGTCAGGCCCAAGGGCGTTCACTTAGGGGGAAATACTTCCACTACCAGCTCTCTTTTTATACAATCTACTTTGGCCAAGCTAATCTGCTTAGGCCATCAGCATTTATAGTCCTGGCACACTTTGCAAATTGACAACATTGTCAGGCCAGAAAGATGGTTAATAAAACCAACAGGAGTTATTTATGAGTTTCTTCTGATACAAGCCAAACACAAGATGTGAGAGTTAAGTGAAGTATCCTCGTGCTGTCATTACTGGCAGCCGCAGCAGCATTCCTGAGAGGTGGTTATATGCCAGCCATTTCTCTGAATAGAAAAGGGGGTCAGGGGCACTGAATGGTAAATGCAGGTCCAGGTTGGCCCCCCTGACCTGGATGTGGCATGGATAATAAACCGAAGGCAGCAATGTGCACCTTTGCTCCAACTATGACCCTTAACAGAATTGCAAGGGCCAGCAGAGAGGATGTCAGTGGCAGGAGCTGGTACATAAGGACACCTCCCAGTAGGCACTATAGCTAAAACAGGTAAGTAGCTGGTTTACCTGTTCTGCACTGAGATGCCAGGTCCTTGGCCAACTTCTTATTGCTGCATGGGAAGGATAAATGAAACATATCACACACAGAGAGAGAACGACAGAGAGAGACAGAGAGACAGAAAGACAGAGAGAGACAGAGAAAGGATGGAGATGGAGAGAAGAGCCAGACTTGGCCCCTGTTGTGCAGATTTCATCAGTATCTTTCCCTTTCCTGAAAATTGGAAGTTTGCTTTACTTCCTCAGTTCTTGGGAGACACAGCTTCCAGGGATGGATGCCAGATGTTTGCGTGCCCTTTTAAAGTGCTCAGAGAACGGCTGTTACTAATCACCACATCGAACATTGTTCACACGAAGAGTTTCTGCCCCAAATCGATCTGGGCATGTTTTAGCTCTCTTCTTCCTGACAACAGTGAGAAGCTGCTGAAGGAGAAAGCATGGTGTTTGAGCCTACCAAGAGGCCAGGATAAGCTGATGTTGGAGCTAGAAGCAGAGGACCAGGCTGACCATAAATCTTTCCTGACTGAGACCTGAAATTTTTTTATTTTGTTTACTCAGAATATTAATAATTTTGGAAATCATTAAAGTAGAACCAAAAGACTCTCCTTTTAAGAGGCTATGGAGCTCATGAATCACTCCACAGATACAATATGCTGAGCAAATCAAGTCTCAACTCTTGCCATGGGTCTGCTGGAAGTGTGGCCATTTTCATAGGACACTTCATGTGTGGAAACAAGGAGGTGTGAGAAAAGTCCTTAAAAGAAACTTGTACTTAAAATTTTAATAATTGTAGTGTACAAATGTTTTTATAGTGGGAAACAGCAAATCCTTTCCCTGTCTCTCAGTTCTTCAATGTTTCTTCCTGTTGGTCAATGTCACCCACATTGTCTAACATTAGTCAGTGTTTCTGGTAGCACCACCGCCAGGACAAATTCTTTTTTAATTTTTCTTCCCTACCTTATCTTTTGAGAATAGACCTCACTCTCACTGAACCTGGGGAATCAATGATTAGCTAAGTTGGCTAGCCAGGAAGTCCTGGTTCCCCCCATTCTCTGCCTTCTAGTCTGGCATCACAGGTATGTGCCTCCATGCCATGCTTTCCTTTACTAGGTTTCTGGGGATCTAACCTTGAGTCTTCATGCTTTCACAGCCCATGCTTTCCAGATATTGAGAGACTGCCCCAGACACCAAATTATCTAGACTCTTACAGTTCCTTCTCCAAGCACAATAGGTACATTTTCTTTATACCTTCATATCCTCTGTGACCATGGGTTTCCTCCTTAGTCAACTTTCCTTTACTGAAACAAAATACCTGAGATAACTGAAAAAGATGAAGAGTCTGTCTTGGTTCACAGTTTTGAAGACTTTAGTCCATAGATGGTTTTAGTTCATGGAGAAGTGCCAGATCAAGGGAGGGGGTGAATGGCAGAGAAAGCTGCTCACACCACTGCAGCCCAGAAATAAAAGAGAGAAGATATCTAGCTACAGTGGAGTGGCTGGGTCCTGGTGGTGACATATTACCCTGGGGGTTGTTGTTTATGTTCTTACACTGCGTTTAGACACTTGGATTTGGATTATTGGTCTAGATGCCAATTTCTGGTTTTGTCTTTGTTGGGTAGGTGTTTTCCTCCTTAGTTTCTATTTCCTTTCTGGTCTTTTGGATTCCATGGCCTGTGGTTGAGTAGAGCATTTTTTACTCCATCAGGGGCTGCACTTTTGATATTCTGAATAGTCTCTGGTCCAACAGCGGTTTGATGCCCAAGTTTGGGTCTGACGTTCTGCCTATGTATGTGTATGGCTTCTGATCTGGATGGGGGTTCTCTGGGGTTCCAATGGTGGTCTGGAGCTTTCATGGGGCCAATCTAGGCCCTCTGCATGTATCTGGCAGTTATATAACTCGGTCTTCTTGTAGGACTCCTAACAGTGGTAGCAGGGGCTATCTCTGACTCTTTGGCCGGCTTTTAGGACCCTATTTCTCATACTGGGTTGCCTTGCTCAGCCTCAATACAAGGTAGGGTGCTTAACCTTACTGTAACTTAATATATATATATATATATATATATATATATATATATGGGAGGCCTGCCCTTTTCTGAATAGACGTGAATGGGGTGGAGGATGCAGAGGGGAAGAGGGGGGAGGGACTGAAAAGAGAGGAGGGGGGAGAAACTGCAGTCAGGATATAGAATGAAGAGGAGGAGGAGACACTGGTCCCACACTCTATTTCGAGGTTACTTCCACAATGACTTAAAGGCCTCCTACCAGGTTTCATCTCTTAAAGGATCCTCCATATGCAAACTCCGGGACACTCACGTGGAACCTGGAGGATGTTTAGCCACACAACTGTAACAGGAAAATAAATACAAGTATTGACAAAGCTTCTGATAGTATTTATGCTAGGATCAGTTCTCTAGAAATACTTGATGACAGAAGGAATCATTTTTGGGATGATATACAAAGTTATTTGTCATTTAGACCTGGACTACTAACAGCGATACTCACTGTGATTTAGCATAGGCATTTCAACAAAACTTTATGAGAGATAGCTATATTCATGGAAGCCTACATTATAGAGCTGAGATGCCTAGATTCAAGTATTTCATATACAGGCTTCGAGATTTTGGCAAGTTCCATAGCCCTTCAAAGCCTGTTTCCTCATCCATGAAATTGAGAAAGCAGTCATACCTACTTAATGCAACTCTGATTATAATTTCATTTACATATGAAAGGAAACTGAAAACCTTCTGATATACCTTGGGAACCAATAAATCGCATTTACTCTAATCTTAAATGACCTCCTGAGCTTAGAATTTGAAGAAAGCAATCTGGGACCAAGGACTCCACTTCTGAGGGTCTCAGTTTACTTCATTGTTAAGTAGGGAATCAACAGTAGGTAGAGCCTAAGGCTGTTTCAAGACTCAAATAAACTGTGAAGGGACTCCATTGTCAAGCCATTAAGCCAGCATTAACCCACATGGTTCACACCTGTAGAGTCAATGCTGGGTGTGGTTATTGCTACTAATATGCCTTGGCTTCAGGCTACATCAACACTATTGGCTTTAATTTTTCCGAAATCATTCAACTTACTATTACCTCAATGATATTTTTCTTCTTGTTGTGACAAAATACCTGACTTAGCCATCTGTTAAGGGAGAAAGGGGATATTTTGACTTACAGTGTAAGAAGGGATATTGCCTGCCTCTACAGGGAAGGTATCGTATCCGGAACTCGAGTAGGACTCTTCAGCAGTGAGGAAGGAAAGAGCAGACAGGAAATAGCACCAGCTGCCCCCCCAGTGACTCACTTCCGTCAGCGAGGCCTTACATCTGAGGCCTAAGTGTTCCAACAACATGAGCTATGAGGGATGCTTCCCATTCAAATCACAACATGGCCTTCTCCTAACAGTGCTACGATGCACCTGCTATTGGGTACTGTCATAGTCACAGCTGCCTCCCGTGGTACTGTCTAAACATGTCAGACTTCGCTGTCTCTGGGCACCCAGCCATAAACACTAAGAGGAAAGACGGATGGTCACTAGATAACCCTTCTCAACCAACTGTTTTCTCTTGGCAGGATGTTCTGGAAGCTCTCGCTGACCTTGCTCCTAGTGGCTGTGCTGGTAAAGGTAGCTGAAACCCGGAAGAACCGGCCTGCGGGCGCCATCCCGTCACCGTACAAGGACGGCAGCAGCAACAACTCAGAGAGATGGCATCACCAGATCAAGGAGGTGCTGGCCTCCAGCCAGGAGGCCCTCGTGGTCACCGAGCGCAAGTACCTCAAGAGTGACTGGTGCAAGACGCAGCCTCTGCGGCAGACCGTGAGCGAGGAGGGCTGCCGCAGTCGCACCATCCTCAACCGCTTCTGCTACGGTCAGTGCAACTCCTTCTACATCCCGCGGCACGTGAAGAAGGAGGAGGACTCCTTCCAATCCTGCGCCTTCTGCAAACCCCAGCGTGTCACCTCGGTCGTCGTGGAGCTCGAATGCCCTGGGCTCGACCCCCCATTCCGAATCAAGAAAATCCAGAAAGTGAAGCATTGCCGGTGCATGTCCGTGAACCTGAGTGACTCTGACAAGCAGTGAAGTCACCAGAGCAAGACACAGCTCAACCCTGAGCGCCCTTGCCCCTGGGTCGTGCGTGCCACCTCCACTTCTGTCGAGCCTACTCACACTCTGCCCGGTGTCCCTGTCAGCAGCAAATGCATCTCTTAGGGTTAACAGTGTCCTTGTCACAAATGTGGACTGCAAGTCGTCATGTCCCAGATCCACCCTGGGCCACACTCCTGTCTCCAAATCCAGGCTGTGGATCGGGCACAGAAGATGTTGGAAAACACTCTCAGATACCAGACAGGACTTTTCAGGCGATGCGCTGTCAATCCGGCATTGACGTTTCCACCATGTGGAAAAGCCAGCCTTTCTCTGGCCACCTCCTACACTCCAGCTCGACCCTCCCCTGGTGAAGAATGCACCACTCTTCTGTCGCAAACTTCCGTTGGCCACCAGACCTCTAATGTGTAGGCATTCGTTCTTCTAACGTGGGAGCTGCCAGGCTCTGCGGCTGCTGTGATATGGATAGGGGCAGCTTCCGTAAAGGAGATGCTCACCCTCAAGGGGTCTCCAAAACAAACCTGATTCCTACGAGGACAAGGCGAGCGAAGGGGATCAGGAAATGACTTCCCTGGGGACTATACTAAGCAGGCCAGACCCTCCACACCTCTAGACACCACCACCTTTTTTCTTGCTCCTCATAGCCCCCATGTGTGGACTCAAGATGAACTCTGGCGCACATGCGATTCCCTCTGCCATTAGCCTGTCACCATACAAAGGGTTTCTGTATTAATGTCACTTTTATAATTGATCTATTGTGTAAAATCTGTTAAGAGTATTATCAACCTATTCATGTATCGACTCATGTGTTGGGACTTGGGTTTTGCAGCGCATCCTGAACGAAGAGTAGAACAGGGAATGGTCTGTAGAAATGGCATTTTCCTGGGAAATACTGCCAGGCCCGCAATTTGGTGCCACACACCTTTTATCAGGTTGAGCGGGGAGAAGGGACACCTCATGGTTTTACTTTGAATATGGCATCACCAGAGGCAAGAAAGCATTTCAGTATAGTGCAGAAGTTAGATGGGGATGGATGGTATCTCAGAGGAGTCACTGGGAAGTTGTAATGCTTGATGCGCACATGTGAAATGAGACCTCGAACAGTCTTCACTGTCATAACACTAAGCAAAACATATTTTCTATTCAAAGTCATTTAAGAATATATGGAATTGAGACACTTTGTGGCACAGGCAGAAATAAAAAGTAATGTAGGTGAACTGTCACTCAGAAAATAGCTTCCTTTCCAAAGAATAGACTTCTAAAAATACTAAGATACCTTAGGTCACCCTTTTGACTTTGTGATGAGTTGTGGAAGTCTCTGCAGTATGGTCTTTTGATGGGAGGACATGGAAATAATTTATTTCCCTCCAAAATTACACTCAAGTTCAACCTCCTTGTGCAATTGTCCTTGTGAATGACATGTATGGAATCTAACAAATGTGAATGAGAAGCCATTTGTGGGGAGCAAAATACATTAATATCCTTTGGTTAGTAATTTCTCAGTGCATGCTCATGCCCAATAGTGGGTTTTCTCGTGTGTGAGAGACCTCCCATAAGCTGCTCTGAAACTAAGGTTTCTGGACGCTCAGTAGTGACGATGCTGGCTCCCCAGCTTGCCACCCTGAGAAGAGGACTGGGGTGAGCTGGGGTGGGGTGTGTCAGTGACCCTCATGCCTGTATTGCCATGCAAGTTTTCTAGTTTACTTCTGCAACACAGTAAACCCCAAGCATAGATGGTGTGGTTTTAAAGGGAGAATTAGCTTTAGATATGAGAGTGCACAGCCTAGAATCAGAAAAGAGAAGCGAGGAGAATGGAGAAATTGCTGAGGGCTGGGACCCCTGGGATGAAGGCAAAAAGTGAAGTGGGTGCCGAAGGTCAGAGTTGCAATTTTCATGTTTAGTAGAAAACCTCGAGCTAGAGCATGCAGCAGACAAGATGTGAAGGACATCCAACTTTCCTTAATGGAGGCTGATCAGCACAATCCGAGAGGAGGAGAATCTCACACCCGGCTGCAAAGCCCACCCGTATCACGTTAGTAACAGGACCCACAGGAGTAGAGGAAGAGTTAAGCTGGCAACCCACAAAGTACACACATTAACACTTTTTGATCCCAGTCATGGGTGTTTCCATGAAAGCAGGATGACATGCTGTGGTCTGAGGCTACTTCTTGGGTTATTGTATGTATAATGTTTACCTTTGAGTGGCTCAAATTGTATTTAAATTTTGTCTTGTTTATAAATGAAGAAAAGCTATAAGTATAATGTAATTATTTTATAGGTATACTATTAAGTTATAGAACAAATAAAGATACTCTAGGATTATATGTGATCCGGGTGTCATGTGCCATAAAAGCTGAATTCTGCACTTGTGTCCTTGGGTCACCAGGGATCTTGGTGCACTCAGAGTTCATTATCCAGCCTCTGGGAGTTCACCCCTGGCCCATGTGACAAACTGTCCTTGGGGACTTGGGATCTTCTTTAGGAGAATCAGAAACAAACATTGAAGAAACAGAATTGGTGGGGATGACTCTCAGTCCCAGTCTACAGGAGCTTCTAGCCTTTCCCAAACCACCCACCAGCTGAATAGAGAATGTACTCACAGTGTTCCTGGAATAAGAAATATTGAATGAGGAAGCTTTGAGAAACTGATGCGACAGAAGTCCACCTAAAGTCTCATTGTCTCTCTTGTAACCAGTGCACCACACTCGTGTCTTACATAATCCAGAAACTGTACTGGGTTTTGATTAATTTTACCTTGACTTTCCACAGATTTCAACACTTCTTAATTTAAACACGTCTCAGTTCACAGTGTTGACATTTTTCTGCAAATTGAATTATCTGCCATTTAAGAAATGCAGTGATCAATAAAACATACAAATCTTAATAAAATTGCATATGTGTGATTCAGTTGTACAGACTTTTAATGATTTAAATTCAATGTGACAATAATTCATCTTAGTTTATTAAACAAAAGTATTCCACTTCAATCTATGGCATTACAGGCAACTTATTTGTAGAGTTGGCTGGCTGGTTTTTATGTTGTAAAGTCGATGAAAAGGAACTATTGATACTGACTGAACAGCTCAAGAGTGTGAGACTAAAAAGTTTACTTAATGATTGACTGATTGGTCTATTGCCATTGATTATTGTTTGCATGGGAGATAATGATAAACGCAGATCATAAGTGAAGCAACTAAAGCTTGTTGATCCTCAGGCTATCTCTGAATCTTCTTTAAATCCACCCCCACTCTTGTTTTTTTTTTTTTTTGCTTTTTTTATTATAATTAATATTTTTTTATTTTCCATTTTAAATTTAGATAAGAAACAAGGTTGCTTCACAAGTCAGTACGAGGTCCCTCTCCCTTTCCCTCCCCTCCTCCCGTGCCCTCCCCCCATCCCCCCCCGTTATCCCCTCATTCCCCCAGGGAGGGTGAGGCCCTCCATGGGCCACCCCCACTCTTGTTACCAGCTCCATGACTACAGCTTCTCAAACACAGCAGGCAACCCGGTTATGTGACCAAAGATGAACAATGTGAAACCTCACAACTTTTGTGGATTTTTCTAAATTTCAATCTAGAATTCGCAGTAAAACAAACAAACAAACAAAAAAACCCAGAGACCCCCACTGCTTTACCATTCTTTGAATCCTGAGATTTCATTAGTCAATCTATCTTCTTTCATTCACCCTGTCTTATATTTGATGCATGTGTGGTATCAAGAGAATTCACTGGATGGAAGAGGGAAAGTAATTGACACTAACTCCTAAACACTGAATGAACCATCCTGGCTGCCTATTAATTTAGAAGCCATAGAGGCTTCCAGGCATCAAGAATCCTTGTAAGGTTAACCAGTCAATCTCTAAGGTACATTTTGTAAGTAAATACTTATCAAGATTTCCTGCATATGCATAATTTGACCCATTTTTCTTTTCTAGCCTGTCACATGACTTTATTGTGTAGTACAGAATACCTCCCCATCCAGATCTCCTCAGGCTATATTCTGAGGGGAGGGATAACAATGTAAATATCCTAAAGGCAACAGAATAAACAAAATGGGTATCCATCCCATAGGAAAGTAGATTTCCTCTTGTTCTCTTGCTGGAAGGTGGGCAGGAGTATCACTTGCTACTGTGGCAGAGATGGTTTTTAGTGTTGAACTGCAATGTCCTGCTGCTGTTATCTTTGGAGGAGCCAACAGGAGAAATAAATAGGGCTACATAGGGGCCAGGGCAATACTAAAACATTTCACCTCATTTATCCCCCTGCCTGCCACTCCTCTTTTTGCTGGGATGGGGTAGTCAGAGTTTCTGCCTGCCACTCGCCACTGTAAGAGTTCTTGCCTGAAGACAAAGAATCAATGTGAGGACTTTTCAAACTTCCAGGAGTATCCTTTCTCGTTTTGTATCTGGAGAGGCGATAACAGATTAGTAGTTTTCTCTGAGGAATGGCTCTCCAAGCAGTGGCCCACCAAGCACTAGTCTTTAGCTGTAATTTGTGTAGCCTCTATGGCTTCCAAATTAATAGGCAGCCAGGATGGTTCATTCAGTGTTTAGGAGTTAGTGTTAAGTACAATCCAGTGGTGAAAAAAATCCTCAAAAGCATCAGGGGGGTTTCCCTTTTCTCTAAAGTACATGCACTTAGCTAGGTGGTCCAATGGTCTTAGGTTAAGGAGGGGGGAGAAAATTAATGGATAGAATTGCCCTAGGTTCTTAATTCAGAGGGAATCACCACTCCTTCAGCCAGTGCACTTGTTCTAAATCTGATCTGGAAATGGGGAAGGGACTGCAGTTTCCTCCTTCCACCTCTTAGCACCATCACTGATATTTTATCGAGTGTGCTAAGCAATACTCATCTTAGTAGCCCATCTAGAAACAGTAGAAATTTGCCTCCAAAAACATCAGCTTCTTGTAATCACTCCAAAGTTGGGATTGGACTACCCTGAGAGCGATTATGAGTCCACCATGCCTTCGAAGAAAACTTTTACATTACACCTAAAAGCTAAGCATTAATGCCTGGTTTGTGTTATTTTTGGAATTTTGCTAATCTCCTGTCTGACGGGGTCTAGTAACAACAGCACAGGCTCACTGCTGAGGGTTTCTTAGCAATTAATTAATGCCTGGTTTGTGTTATTTCCTGTCTGACGGGGTCTAGTAACAACAGCACAGGCTCACTGCTGAGGGTTTCTTAGCAATGCAGCCACCTGGGTTTTGTTGTTGCTGCTGTTGTTGATCATTGATTTGTTTCTTTAATTTTTAAATTTATTTTCTTGTTTTGGATCCATATTACTGTGCTTAATCCAGTGGCACTTTAAATCCTTTTCTCCAGCACACAGAATGGAAGTCTCTGTATTATCTATTATTCTGGATTGTAGCTTTCATGCTCTTTAAGAATTATCCAGCAGGTTACTGCCATCCCTGTGGCATTTGCCCTAGATCCAAATTTTCTGATGTGAAATACCCTTACCTTAATGTTCAACTCCTCTTCTTAGACCCAGCAGCCTCAGAACCCCATCACTTCTGTGTTCCTTTCCCTGGGTACGACACCATCTCCTCTGCGTTCCTGTCTAACCTGGTAAACCGGTGAGTTTATCTTGGAAGAAGCGTGGATGAGGGGTTACTTAGAAGAGAATGGGTGACTCTTTCGTAGCTGCATCATTGAACACCACACTCCAATATGGATGATGGGTCAGAAAAGTGATGTTTTGGGGGCCGCCTGCCCAGGGTACACACAGTTCCATTGAAGAGTCTCCTAAGCCCCAGAAACTGTTTGCTGCTCATATAATCTTGGAGAGGGGACTCATGATTCTTGTATCTACCTGAGCTTCCCGAGTCTCTTACTTTATAGATTCCAAGTTTTGTTGATAGGGGTAGGAGTCCTTGTCTTCCTGAAAGCTGCTGCCCACCCGAGGCAGTGCTCTGACAAGAAGGATACTCCAGCTCCAAACTCATTGCCAGAGAGCAACAAACAAACAAACAAACAGAACAAGTACTCCTTGTTGAAGAGAAGCCCACGGTGAACAAAATTGACAGCTAGGACTTTGGATGTAGGAAGCATCAGGCAATGGACTGCAAGGGTCACAGCAGTACCTGGAATACATAAACTGTTTCTACAGCTCTTCCTTACTTGGTCTCTTTCTCATCTTATTTGCATACCCTAACTCAGACAATAGGAACCCATCTGGTTCTGAATAAATTTGGATGTCTAATATTTCAGTGTGTGAAGGCAACATTGAGAGCTGACAGAGGAAGGAAAGACAGGAGACAGATGACTTTCCAGACTTGCCACAGATAGACAAAGTTTCCCACCCGAGTCTTCTCCCAGCCAGGAGAAGTTTGATTAAGCCAGCCTTCAGAACTTGATCAACACTTGCAAGTAGCAGATTTATCCCTGCCTCAGTGCGCAGCTGCTTGTCACCTTTGAGACCTGCCCAGGACAGGAGACCCAACCCCACTGATGCCTTCTGCAGACTTGCTCTGCAAGACACAGCCCTTGGGTGACATCTTCTCAGAATTGTGATAATTCTTAACTAGCATCTTGATGCTACTGTGTTCAAAACTGTTCTATTGAAATTGGTTCAATCTAAATGGCAATCCGTTCAAAGTTATCTAACCTGTTTAAGGTTGTTAATCAGAATGGGTAGTATAGCAGCTCCCATTTGAACATTCCTTCCTGTCTTCCCACTTCACTGTTGGAGAGAAGAATGACAAGCACCCAGTTGGAGACACGCGATGGTCTCCTCTGACAATCATAAACTTTCATCATAAACTTTCTTCTCCTCTCCAGGAGGTAATGTTTCAATTCAGAGGAAATGGATACATGACTTCCTAGCTGGTCAGACACTTCACAGTAGGGATGGAAGCAAACCAACAGACAGGTCTGCCTGACTTAGGGGAATTGAGAGTTTGAGATTCTCCACTCTAGGGATCCACATACTCCTTCCCCAATGTTTGAGACCTATGAGGGCTTTCACTCAGGCACAGGATTCTTCCAAGGGCCAAGGAAGCAAACTTCTCTGAACATGTATTTCTCATACAACTAAGACCTCCTTTTGAGTATAGTGAATTAGGGATTTATGAGATGTTGCCAAAGAGACCCTATTTATGGTCATCACATTTTGCATAGATTAATGATTAATCATCCTGTGTCTTTTATTATCTCTTCAACAAATAAATGTCATTTGAAATAGGTATCCACTCCCAGAGTCCCTGTGTCCACTCTGTCCCTCATAACTTTTAAGACCAGCCAGTGAGTCCTTCCTCCAGTTATCAGTGCTAGCTTACCCTCGGGATCTCTCAGCAGAGCACATTTCTGCATGCCTACCTCTATCTTGCCAACTCCTGACAACTGATCCATTTCCAAAGAACTTGCTGTTCTGTCCTTCCTCTGGCCACCAAATTCTGCAACTACCTATCTTTGATTCGTTCCCCCAACTTTGGGACAAAAGGTTCTGAATAGCTTTATTAGGGAATCTCAAAGCACATGATCCTGTGTGGGAGTAGAGAAAATCTGACTGTGCACTGGGAAAAGCTATCTGCTTCCAACTCCAGATGAAGTCTTGTCTGAATCTATGGAGAGTTCTGGGACTGGGATGGTATTTTAGGATTGTCCTAAACTGCCTTCGCAATCCACATTACCCAATCACTGCCCACAGGCTGTCCCTAGAAGGAGGTAGACATTATCTTACAATCTGGAAACCCCGGAAGGAGGATGAACCTGACTGTGAACTATTGGGCAGTGATAGTTTCACTGAGGTCTGGTTTGGGTGAGATGAGATGGTCTTTTATCCCTGAAGAATCTGGGTCATTCTAGAAAGTGGTAGGGCAAGGCATTGGGGGGAGCACGGACAGAAGATAAATAAATCATAGAAGCCATTGAGAGAGACAGGCATGATAATTCTACTCCTC